CAATATTTCTCTCTCTCTCTCTCTCTCTCTCCCTTTTTTTACCTAATTCCCGTGAACAACAGATATATTTCATTTCTAAATTTTTTTAAAATTCTAAAAAAGAAAAGAAAGAAAAGAAAAGAAAAAAAAAATGGATTTATGTCATTTTTGATCAGTGAAATGAATTTGAACAATATTTCATTTTCTATTTTGCAAAAAGAAAAAGAAATGAAAGTTATTACATACCAATTCAAATTCAAATTCAAAAAAAACTGATTATTTCTTTTGATTGTAAAATTAAAATTGTAATTTGATGTCTTCTTAATAAATTATTTTCATTGTATAAAATTTTAAATCATTTTTTTTTTCTTTAACTCTTTTAATTCTTTCTTTATTTCACTAAATTATTTTAATATGAATTATGAGAATTTTTTTAGTCATCATTTTTCTCTTTTTTTTTTTGCCAAAAAAAAAAATACTCTTTCTATGTTCTTTTTTTTTTCTTATATTTATTTAAATTTTTACAAAATTTTGCAAAAAAAAAAAAAAAAAAAGGTAATTGTAAAAAAGTTCACATAAGTTGCACTAAATAATACTGTAACAATTATTCAATTTACCGAGAAATTTAATGCAATTTTTTTTTTTTGATATTAAATTATCGACGATCAGATGTAAAGTGAAGTGTCCTTGAAATAAAGAAAAAAGAGCAGATGAGATGATGGTTTAGAGAGGCGTAAAAAAGAAAGGATTTTTTGAACAATTCAATCGTTCCTTTATGAATTTGTCTTTTTTTTTCCTTTATTAGAAAAAGGAGAGGAAAGAGAGAGGGAGAGAGAGAAGAGAAGAGAGAGGAGAGAGGCATTTTTCTCCTCTAAATTAAATTTTTTGATTGACCTGGAAAAATTCAATTTTATGGCAGGTCTATTTTAGTAAACAGTTTTAAATAAATATCAGCTTTATTATTTCCTATCTTTCTAAATTGCACTAATTTTATATTAACCCGTTATTTAATGCTAATTTACAAATTTTTCTTTTTTTTTTTTAAACTTATGTTTTTTACTTATTACTTAAAATTACTTTAAAAAAAAAGATGATTTTGCTTATTACTTAAAATTACTTTAAAAAAAAATGAAAATTTCCATGGTACATTATTTTCAGCTTTGCAACTTAATTTAATTGCTATTTTTATTGATAAACTTGTAAAAATTAGATATTATCAAATATCATTTATTGTATAATTTTATTTAATTGTCTCTTTTCAAGGTTAAAAATATTAGAATTTCATTCAATAAAAAATTTATTTCTTAAAAGATATCACTAGTTTTTGATTTATTAAAAAATTTTAATGCCAAAATTTCAGTGTATTAATTTTTTTTTTTCCTTTTAGTTTATTAAAATTTTAGGTATAATTTTGCTTTTTCTGTGTAGATCATTCAATTTTATTGTGACCTTTGTTTATGTTTAATGCAAATCATATGTAAAATACTAGTTGGAATAAGAAAAATAAATGTGAAATGAAAATGAAAACATTTTCTAAGTTTCTTTTTTTTATTTGCAAACAATATGTCTAATTAGTTGACCAATCAATAGTAAGCAAATAAAACAAAAAAAAGCAAAAACAATTACAATTTAAAAAATTTAAAACTCATTCATTCAATCTTTTTCTCATTCCATACGAACTAAACTATAAAAATACTTTAATGTGAATTCATTTATTTGAAATAGTGTAAACTTCTACAAATTTCTTTAAAAAAAAAAAAAAAAAAGTATAACATAAAATAACTACAATATATTTATAATATTTTTTTAAAGAAATTATCCAATTATTGAATCATTGAAATTTTTTCAAAATTAGTTTAAATTATTTTAAAAAAAAATGAAAAAAAAAACAAAGAAAGAATGAAAAATTATAAAAATATTATTAGTGAATTATAATCCTAAATTGTTAAATGGTTAATATTAAGAGCAAAGATAATAAAAAAAGTTGAAGAAAAAAAAAAAAAGAATTTTTTGAAATGAACTGATTAGTGATAGTGTCATATGGAAAAGTTAGAAAATTAATTTGCTGGTGCAATTAATGAATGCTCGTATCGGAAGATAAGATAGAAATGATATGTCTGAGTTTTGATGGTGTAATAAGTGAATCGAAGTAGCTAGTTAGCTAGCTAAGCTTAACATTCTCGACCTCTACCCTCAATCATCTGTCTCTTTTAGTTGAAATGAAACAAATGTTTAAGAGTTGTATGGTAGAGATATATTTCCTTTCTTCATTATATTATTCTTATTTTTATTTCATTTTATTATCTTTCATTTTAAAAAAAAAAAAAATTTTTTTTTCTTTTTTATGCTATTAGAAAGAAAATTCATTGTTAAACATACGGTTTTCATTATATTTATTTGTAATATAAACTGAAGCAGATGTGTCATCCATTCTTAGTGCATTTTAAATTTTATCTAATTTCATTTTTGTATAAAATACTTTTATATTATCTTTTGGTAACAAGCATTTTGGTATATTTTACATATAATAAATTATGCATAGTTGTTTTCAATTTTAAAATATTTTATGAAAAAATTTTTATTTTTTTTATTTTTTTTTACTTTATCAAATTAACTAAATTATTCATATATAATATGTAAAATAAATATTTGAAAAATAATTTTTAAAAAAATTTTTATTTTGCAAATTTCTTCATAATAATGTTCGTTTTTTATTCATTGGGAATTTTTTTTTTTTGAGCAAATAACTTGTAAAGTTTATATGAATATTATAAGTGAAAATTAATGGGAATATTTTGGATTTTTTTTTTTAATATTTGAAATAAATTTAAAAATAATTTCAAATTTTTAGTATCATTTAAAATGTGCAAATTTTTCCTTTTTTTTTTTTAGCAAATGTATAGTTAATTAGTGTAATGCTATTGCTTAGTTATATGAATATTTTCAAAAATGTTTTGAAAATAAAAATTGCTTCCAAATTTTTTGCAAAAAACTTTGCTAATTGTTTGTATTTTTAATCAGTCTAAGTTACTGCATAATTAGTTTGTAAAGATAAAGGATAAAACAAATTAAATTATTATTTTATCAGTAAAAATAGACAATACATTTAATTTATGCAATATTTGTAAAATTAATCTTCCATTTTGCAATGCTAATTTCATTTCATTTTTAATTTCATCCAATTTGAATTTACTGTTTCATTTATACTTACTTAATTATAATTATTAAATGCTCAAATATTTAAATTGGATAAAGAGATGAAAGTTAGTACTTACTTACTTACTTCTTATTGTACATGAAACAATAACTGCTGCTAATTTACTGTTTCATTTATACTTACTTATTTAATTTGCATATATACATATATATGTCAATAAATATTATTCATTACTTAATTTTTACTTCAAGAAATCAGAAAATATTACTTTAAGTGTAAGTCTATTTTACAATTCCTAATATTTACGTTTCATCCCAAAATGAATTTATTGTTTCATTTATACTTATTTAATTACAATTATTAAATGCTCAAAGATTTAAATTGGATAAAGAGATGGAAGTTACTACTTACTTACTTACTTATTCTGCATGAAACAATAACTGCTGCATGCATTGCATGCATATACATGCATAAAATGTATACATACGTGTCTAATATATGTATGCATAAATCTACCTGTGCATACATTGATTGAGCGATGAATGACTATTGTTTACCAGTTTACCAGAGTTTAGGTTGTCGTGTGATATGTGACATATTTGTAGGTGACCTGAATGAATAGGTCAAATCGAGTCGTTAATGTCAATGACGAAAGTGATAACGTCGAGAATGGCTTCAGATGATATTATTATTGTTATTATTGCTGTGTTCAATAATTTCAAACAAAATATCAATGAACAAATGAATGAATGAATGAATGATTTTAATCACTCCGAATGATTGGTTAGCATTTTTCTCTTTTTTTTTTGCTTTTTTATTTCAAATTTAAATTACTTATTGCTATTTTATTGTTAGCTTAACTTTTTAAATTATAAATATTTGTTTAAAATGTTGCATGTTGATTTAATAAAATGGTTTTATCAATTCGTTTATTTTTTTTTCCGTTTTTTTCAAGTAAAATTTTAATTTTATATTATAACAGTTGATAAAAATTCATGAATTATTTATTTATAATTGAGAATTTTAAAATTTAAAGTATCACAAAATTTAGAAGAACGAATTCTTTGGTTTTTTTTTTTTTTTTTTTTTTTGAAGGATTTTTTCTGGGAGTAAAATAATTTATTATGCAGTATGCTTTATTCTTACAGAAATTTTTTTTATTAAAAGTTATCTCAAGGATGACATATTTAAATTTTAAATCTCTTAAAAATTTAAGTTTAAATCTTAAATCTCTTAAAATTTAAGTGCTACTATCATGAAAATAGTGTGATATGAAATTTAATTACACAAAATAAAAACAAATATTATATGTCGTAAAAGCATAACTCAATTTTAATCTTAATTTAAACGAATATTTTCATTCGTAAAATAAGCTTTTCCTTTAAAATAGTTTTATTTTTCTCAACAAATTATCTTTTTTTTTTTTTCTGTAAAGATAATCACTTATTGATAAAATTTTCACTATTTATTCATTGAATAATTCATTAATTTATTACATATAAGTTCTACTGCATTGATTTATAATTCATTGCTAGCGATAATATTGAAATTAAATTTAAAATATAATAAATACTAATAAAAACATTTTGTAATAATTAATTTAAAATTTAATATGAGTAAAATTTATTCAACTATTGTTAAGTTTTCATGATCAAATGATATTTTAGTTTCAAAATAGGATTATATTTGATAATTTTTTAGCCTCAAAAAAAAAAAAATGTAACTTAATTCTAATTGATTTTAGATTAATTCCAAGCTAATTTTAAATTATCATTATTTTTAACTTAAATAGGTTAGAAGTTTTTCACACCATAAACTTTAGGTTTTATTAGATTCAACGTTTGCTATTTTCCTGGTTACGGTAATGGCATTGACATGGCGTAAAAGTAAGGGACGTTTGCGACGAATGACGCGACCAATCGTTCCCACGTTACTCGGTATGATTCTCGGTATATCAGCAACGTTGATCTTTACAACTGTACGACGTCTACCGCATGACATATGCAGTAAACTTCTAGTGCAAGTACGTATTGTTATCAATTAACATTATTAATCATTTCAGTGAATTAGTATTACTTATCATTCATTCTAGTAGTAAAATACTTTCAATTTTTATCTTTGAATGAATACATTTCAAATATTTAAAATCAACAATTTAAAAGTGTAAATGTATGATTAATCATATTTTTACTCGTCTTTTTTTTTCAATTTTTTTATCCATTTAAAGAAGAAATAGCAAAGTAACGAAGTAATCGATAGGTATTTGAAATGAAGGAAATGCTTACTGATTATATAACTTTAATAAAATTAAAATCATTTCATGCACTTATTTTAAATGATCGAATAATGAAAATTAAATAATCAATAGTTTAGTATTTATTGTAGTTTATTGCAGTGAAAATCAGAAAAGTTAAAATAACATAAAATTAAAAAAAAGAAAAAAAACTGACACTGTTTCACAAACTAAAATATTGTTTGTATATTATGCAATACAATATATACAGTTTTAAAACAAAATTTAAAACTATTATGTGTATATATCATTCAACTCTTTTATACCTTAACATCTAACTTAAATTAACTAATATATTTATAAATGCAAAATTAAAATTAAATTTAAATACAAATTATTATGTGTGATAACTTTGTCATAATTTATACTAATTAATAATATTATTTGTAGCATAAAGAACCACAATTATTACTTGTTGGTGTGATGACAGCAGCAAAATATGTGGACACAAGAGCTTATGAGGTTTGGAAAACATGGGCACAACGTATTCCAGGAAAAGTTAGTCTGTTATAAATTTTTGAAAAAAATTTTACAAAAAAAAAAAAAAACAAACTTAAAATTTCAAATTAAATTTAGTGAAAAAATTAATTATGAAAATTTTCTAAAAATAAAAACTTTTCTGAATATTTTTTTTTTTTTAATTTAGCTACTATTTTTCGTAGCCGAAGGTACAATAGCAATTCATACCGATATGCCAATAATTCGTTTAAAAGGTGTCACCGATGTATATCCACCACAGAAGAAATCATTTGCAATGTTAAAATGGATGGCTGATAATCATGTTAGTTGCTAATAATTAAATAATAGATTTAAATTTGGTAAAATTTGTTTATTGTTTACATTTCAATTTATTAGGTAGGTAATTCAGCAGATAACTTCAAAAAATCAATGTTAGTGAATTTTTTGCAAATATTATCTGTATGAGTATGAGAGAAAGGACACATCAAATAGTTAAAATGGATTATCACTTATCGAATTAATTTCAATTACACAAAAAAGAAATTTCATTTTTCTTTTTTGAAAATTTTGATAAAGGAAATTGATAGAATGATGAGAAAGAAACAACAAATAGTGAGAGGAATCCATAAAATGGGACAAAAGAATGATCATTTTCTGTCGTATACAAAATGAAAGAGCAATTTTATTTGACAAAAAAAAAAAAACAGAAAATTTTTCTTAATTCTTTCAATCAAAAAAAAATTTTTTTTTTTATTCTAATATATTTTAAATTTTCATTTATTTCGAAAAGTTTATAATATAATAGTTAAATAATGAAATATTTTGGATTAAAATAAAAGTTAATAATTAATTAAACAATTAATGAAAAAAAGAAAAAGTTTTTTAAAAGTTAGTGTTAATTTTTTTTTTTCTTAGATTAGAATGATCAGAATATTAATGATTTTGACAGTCTTAAATTAATGAATAAGATAAAAATAAGTTTCATTTGAAGATAGAAAATTAAAGAATTAGAGGAATTATGTAAGGTTTATCAATTTATCGGAACATATCTAATTAGCAATTTCTTAAATTCTAGACATTCTCATAAATCTTAAAAAAATTTTTTTTTTTATTTCATATAAATTTTTGAGAAAATTTTCAGTTGGATGATTTTAATTGGTTTATGAGAGCAGATGATGATTTATATGTACGAGGAGAACAATTGGAAACATTGCTAAGGTTTATTTTTCTAATAATTTTTTGCATGGCTAATTTTTGTTTTAAAATTGAAAATGTTTCGTTTTAAATAATTTTTTGAAAATTTTAAAAGTTTTGAAAAATTAACCAATTAGGATGAATATAATGAATGATTGTTTACACAATAAAGATTATTAAATGTGAATGAGAGACAGAGAGAGAGAGAGAATCTCTTCTAAGTTTTATCATCTGCAAATCCTATGGATATAATGCTTTTATGTTAGATCTTTGGACTCGGATAAGGCATATTTAATTGGCCAAGCTGGACTGGGTAATACAGCCGAATATGGACAATTGGCTCTTGGTCAAGAGGACAATTACTGTATGGGTGGACCTGGTATTGTAATGTCTCGAATGACTTTACGTCGTGTCGCTCCACATTTACGTTCATGTTTGATGGAAATGTTCACCACGCACGAAGACGTTGAACTTGGAAGGTACTATTTGTGCGTGATACTGCGTTGCTAATAAGCTACTAGGAAGAGTATTAATTATTAGCTGAGTAAAATCGTCTATTGTTGTAGTAGCATTTTCATTTCAATTTCATTGAGCACAATTTCAGGTTTTCTTTTTTCATTCCGAAAGCAATTTTTGCTTAGAAATCGGTTTGACGTGACCAGTAGTCATTTGCTTACTGAAATTAGAGTTGAAATGCTTAATATTATTTAGATGTATTCGTAAGCATGTTGGTGTCACGTGTACGTGGAACTACGAAATGCAAACATTATTTCACAATAATCAAACGGTACCGAATGCTTATCAAGGTAGTTTGACGGAGTTACGTCATGCCATTACGTTACATCCAGTCAAAAAACCATCAACAATGCGCCGAATTCATGTTCACAATCGTATCCTTCGGCTTGCAATGTTACGTTCCAGACGTATTACATTGTTGAATGAATTACCGAATCAAAAAGCACCATCACTTATACGTCATATTCCAAATTCAACACGTGACCTCTTCCACTGGGATTTTATTTCATCCAACAATATTTTATTTTGTGCTCAACAAGTGAACTGTCCAAGGCATACGCTTGATTTAAGTATACGAATGGCACTTAATGAAATTATCACTCAGGTTATTACTGGTATTTATTATTATTTATTATTAATATTTATTATTATTATTTTATTGTTATTATTAATTATCATTACTATTATTAATTGTTATTATCACTATTACTATTAATCATTTTTCGATCACTATCAGATTGCAATCATTAATTGATAACTAATTTGCACAAATATCAATTTATCAACTTCATAACTTAAAATTTTAATTTCACCATTACTAAAATGGTAATTTGAAATATACATATATATTTTTTTAAGCTATTCGATGAATTCAATGCAAATGCCCGACAAAGAGGTCGCGTACTACGATTTCAGAATATTCAGTACGGTTATATGAGAGTTGAACCACGTCATGGTGTAGATTATGTGCTTGATATGGTATTATGGTTCAAAAAAATTCGTCCACCTCATAGGTTAATCTTTTCTTTTTTAATTAATTTCAAATTTCAATGGATAAAGGTTTTTTTTTTTTCTTTTGCGAAATATTTGTTTATAGAACATTTGAAGTTTTAAAATTAAAATTATATTAGATTGTAATTGAAATAAATATTACCCATACATACTATAATTATCTTTTATAGAGCAACACTTTCTGTACGTCGTCATGCATATATTCAACAAACATTTGGATCATTGGAAATTATATCAGATAGTTTTTTTCGTGACACTTTACGACAACGTATTGCAAAAAGTATTCGTTTATGGAAAGAAACAAATGAATCAAAAGATTTTAATTGGAAACGAATGAAATTACCACCGGAAAATTTTCATATACATATGATAGTGCCACTTGCTGGAAGAGTTGATTCTTTTAAAAGGTTAATTTTTTTTCAATTAAGAAAACAATTTAAAAAAAAAATATGTATATAGTTTAAAGATTTGTTTAAACTTTTAGACTTTATTAAGGATAAGAGCAAAGATATTGTCTAAATCTTTCCAATGCTTTCAGGCTTTTTTTTTTTAATCTTCAAAGATTTAACAATTTTTTTGTATTAGAATTTCGAGATCTAATAACTGAGTTCGAAAAATTATGAGATATTTCTATATGTTAATAATTAAATCTAAACTGGAATACAGATATAGTGGGAGATTGATAAACTACTGATAACTATTGATAATTACAAACCACTGATAACTATAGCTGATAATTTAACGATATGATAATAACCATTATGTGTTAATATTTGTACAGATTTGCAAATAATCTGAGAACCGTATGCCTCAACAAACGGATATTTTCACTTATTTTGGTGATTTATGATTCGGTACCAGATGTGGATACAGCAATTGCAGCATTGATTGATGAACTTAAATTAGAAATTGATGTTAAGGTTCGTCATATACTCTATAAAAATTGATCGATTTTGCAATAGTAGTTATCTGATCTAAAAAGCTGATCTAAATAATATCTGAATAATTTATCTTCCATATTTTGAAGATATATCGAGAATTTTTTTTTTTTTTCTTTTTTGATGATTTGATTTACAACATACAACATTAAATATTTTAAAATATTTGGCATATCTAGTATTCATAAACGAATATATATGAGAGAATGTTACTTCAATAGCTGCTAACTGCTAATATTTCTTTAAAGGATAAAATTTAAACGTTGAAGGTAGCAATTCTGAACAAAAATGATTTTGATGTCATTGTATAGCAATGAAAAATTACTGCTAGAATAAACAATTTGTTTTTCAGGTAATCAACATGGGTTCACAACCATTCAATCGTGGCATTGCACTTTCCCGTGGTGCTGATATTCTGGGACCAGATGCCTTAATGTTTTTTATTGATGTTGACATTCTTTTCACTTGTGATACTCTTGATCGGGTCATACGCAATACTGTACGTGGTGCTCAGGTTAATTAATTATAACATTTTTCTTATTTGTTTATCGTTTTTTTTTTTTTAAGCAATGAAGAAGTGAACTCTTCCAATGAAAATTTAAGAACTAAAAATAAATAAAAGAATTTCAGGTATATTTTCCAATAGTATTTAGCGAATATTCACCAGAAACATGGTCAGATAGCGATCGACTACTTTCTGATGCATTTCATTATGGTCGAAAAAGGGGTTATTTTCGACATTTCGGATTTGGACTAGTGTCAATTTATAAATCCGATTTAGATCTCATTGGAGGCATGAATTTGAATATACAGGTGAATTTGAATGTACATATTACTATCCTCATTACAGGCTTTGTTAATGCTTATGTTTGAAATTTCCTTTTTTAAAAAAATTGTGTTTTTCTTAGAGAAATTTTAAACTTTCAATATGGAATGAAAAATGGTTTCGTAGGAAAATTTTGAAATAAGATAGCATTTTAGGGATGGGGCATGGAAGATGTGGATTTCTTTGAGAGATGTGTTCACTCACCGCTACGTATAATGCGTGCACCGGATCCGGGTCTTGTTCATATCTATCATACCATACACTGTGCTGAATCACTTCCAGAAAAACAATATATTATGTGTATCGGTTCAAAGGCTGCAAGTTTAGCATCATTAGATTCTCTGGTTGACCAATTATCTGTATATTCCTAACATTTGCTCAACTCTAGGTTTTTATCAAAATTAAAATTAAATTTGCATCTCTTAAATTACTCCATTCAAAATAACCGAATAAATGTTAAGTAACTTATTTAATAATTGAATAGGAAAATTAATTTACTATGAATTAAATATGTCATAGGTAACCATGCTTACTCATCCTTACTTCCAGGCTTACCTAATTTGAGCTTATTTTAAATTTTATAATTTATTTCGATTCACTACTGCTCACTTCTAATTTTTTACCATATCAATTGTTGTTTTTTGTTTTATTAACGAATTTTCAAAAGCGCTGTACATGTACAAAGTTGCATATATTACAACTATAGCGCATGATTATAACTTTGTTCCAGTTCAGGCTTACGACAATAACAAAAACATTGAAATAGTTCAATTAAATTAAGAAACATATATAAGATTGACAATTCCTTCAGTTTCACCTATCATCACATCTGCTAAATTATTGCATAGTGTTAAAAAAGTTCCAATAAGCTTCTCAATTTGGAATCCATATAAGCTCAGTTTTCATTAGAGAAGTTTTATCGTGAGCCTAAATTGTGCATTATATAATACTTCAGAAATATTCCACGAAATGTTTCAACAATTCACTTAAAACATCTAATAAAAAGTTTAAACCGTTAATTGTTCAAGAACAAATACAAACAGAAACAGCGAATGACAGAAATCTTAAAATTTAAATATAAAGAAAACTCAGTGGGAAAGTCTTCTTAAAACTCTTTTCTTTATATAATGAACAAGTTTGAGTTGCTTTTAAAATGGAAATATTCTGGATAAAAGCCATCATTTTTTCTCGGTTATATTACGAAGAAAAAATTGATGTTTTAATGCATTTCTCACCACATGAATCTCTGTTTAACACCTGGTTCATGTAACCATTCGAATGGCATATACAAGAATATATACAAAACAATAGCGTTTATAATAATCTCGTAGATTAATTCTAGAATAATTACTAGAAAACGTCGTTCTGGATAGCTAAGACGCCAGAAAATGTAAGGTATGATAAAATACCTTGGTTCCAGCAGATGTGCTGGTACTAATACTGCCGCTGTTCCCAAAATATATAGTAAAGTAAGAGCTCTCGGAATATGCTCCATCATTTGGCTAAATAACTGAAGTGCTATGATATAAAGAATTATTGTAATGTATTTACAATATGGATGATGTAAAAACCACCGTCTCCAGATATAAAAAGTAAAGTGGCGGTTGTCAGCTAAGAGATATGGATGTTGCAATGTGAAGAAGTAAACGCAACAAGTAAAAAGTAAACAAGAAAATAATAATTTAATAGGCTTACGGATGATATACCCAAGACATCGATAAGTTTTAGGAGAAAGTGCCAATAAAGGTGCTGAACTGAAACATAGAAAAATCAAAAAATAACAAATTTGCATGAAATGAGCCACTGGTTGATGGGCTAAACGATCACCGAGCACTACACTATTACCATTCAACATGAAAAATATGATAAAACCAACGGGTAGCAGTATTAATGACCAAAGACGCAATAAGCTTCTAATCAGTATCATTATTGATGAAGTACCCTTATTTAGCTTTTTAAATAAAATAAACAAATGAGTTAAGCCATAGATAGCTGCCCAAATAATGTTTGTTTGCCTGGTGCATATAGAAATAGCAAAAATAAAAGAGGAGAATATACTCGGTTGAAGAGAAGAAGCCCATAGCAGTGTTGTTAATGATAATAAATCCGTATAATACAGCAATGAAGACTGAAAGAGTACAGGAAGCAGTAGGACAATTAGAGAACTTAGTGTAAATTCCAGATAACGAAAATTTAACTTGGATATAAAAGGCTTCTGGAAAAGTTGACGGAATTGCATACAACCAACAAAAGCAAACGGAATCAAAGCAGAATTCGTATATCTTTCATAACCGCAAAAAAATGTTAGCGAAAGTACATATAAAGCTGGTGGTGTTGTGATTTTTGGATTCCATCTGAAAAGTCTTCACAATAATCTATAAAATTCGTTTAATGAATTACGGATAGAAAGGAATCGCTGAAATAAAGGAAGATTATAAGTATAAAGCAGTTATATCATTCATTAATTGCAGTAGAATAAACTAAAATTCTAAACTACAATATAAAAAAAAAATAAAATTCTCTTCATTCATACATAAATAAATTAGATACACTCCGGCTAATCTATCCGCCTATAATGTTTTTGAGGCAATATATCACCTTCATTTAAATAATCTATTTGTAAAGAGTATAAATCCTTGTGTATGCTTTCTGAAATACGCATTAAAATTGTAGCTTTAAAATTGTTTAAATTGAAAAAGTAGAACTGAGAAAGTATTGTCCCATTGATAAAGTAGCTGACAATCAAATAAGAATCATAAACTGACGTAAAATTTAATGCACAAAAACGTCGTGCTTGATCTATGTGAAAAATTTCATCCATATACGGTTCCGGTACCACTTTGTACACATAATTCACGAGAAACGAATGTAATACGCCAAGAAAAGTGCCAATAAACCAATCTAAAAAGAAAAAAGTCAAATTTTCAAATTGTAATTCTACTTGTAATCTACTTGTTACTACATAATTTCATGAAAAAATACTTCGTCGTCTTAGACAGCAAAGATCTATTTTTATTGTTTCAACAATAAAATTAATCAACAAAATTGTGCATAAGTGATAAAAACAGATGCAGCAGAAAACATGTATTTCATCACATTTGAAACTTTAGTATTCAAAAAAATTAATTAGGCTGAACAAAAGTGATAAAATGATTTAATCAATTCTGAAAGTCAAATCCACGTCAAACGAAAATGTATTTCCCTTTTGTCTACTGCATTTTTTTAGACTTTTCCAATTGCATGAAATCAGTCGGCAAACAATTCGGGTAATATCTAGTAGTCAAATAATTTCATGCCATTTTATTCTCCCGAGATAAGTACGAGTTTTATTAAACCACAACTTGTTTTTAAAAAATAGCAAAAAATACCAAACCTATCTTATTATTCATTCCTTCTCGCAATATTATATGAATTAGTCATTTTCTAGATCCAAACAATTACTCGTTTCCGTTTTTTTTTTTCGTGAGAGTTAATCCTGTTTTCAGGATAACTCATTCCTTTTGCCAACTGTTCATTGTAACATACATATCTCTTTATTAATGTTTGGCATAACTGTAAAGGAAACAAAGTAGAACGGATCAATAATAATGTAACTGACGAGAATGTGTCCGGAATTCCGGAAATAATAACTTCCATATGAGTACAACCAACACAATCTCGCATTGAAAGCGTTGTATTTCTCGTGCCAACTACTAGCGAATGAGTCACATCACATTTCATGGCTTATCACTGGCACTATTGATAAAACGGAGAAGTGGGGAATGTGGCCTAGTAAGGCTGGTCCTATTATTTCTTCTTGGCTCACATAGTCGTTTAAGGTCATTAGTAATTAATTTCATTTCTATTATAAATGTTTATTAATACATATTGATAATGGCCATCAATGAATATTTATCTCAGTTCGGTACTGTTCATGGCATATATTTGTATATTGGTTTTGCCTTATAAAAATAAAGTTAAATCTAAAAGCACGGAAATCATTGTTAGAAAAAAGACACAAAACGTCATTTAAATAGAACCCTTCGATTTTTATTAAAATAATTTAGAAAATATGGAAAAAATTTTGAGTATAAGTTTTTTGCGATGAAAAGCGGTAATCCAAATAAAATAATGCAAGAATTATTGTTTATATTAAAACGATTATATAAATTTGTAAATACAGAGAGGAAATGAATATAGAAAAGACATTTATAAGAAAATAAGGGAAATGTAGGAAAACTAAGATAAATTGTCTGATATTTCGTTTCCTTATCACTAGCGGAATAACTTCAGATCCGTCGAAATCTAACTTCATTATCGTTTTCTGTTATAACTTTAATAATGTAAGAAGAAGTAATTTTTGCATTCAAAATAGGGAACATAAAGAAGAGAGAAAAAATGTTGGAAACTTGAATTATATCACTGTATTTGATCTTGTTTCTTTCCTATAAGAATAAAAACTCTTTCAGTTTTCATTTTCACTCAGTCAGTTGAAATAACCTGTTAATAAAATAAGGTAGATTGATGAATAGGGTGGATCGCTAAATATGTTTTGAAGTGAATTAGTTAAAAATTTCGCATGAACTGTTAGCATAAAAACATCATAGCACTGATCATATATAATAAGACCATATATAATCGATTCTTCGAACTTTTTGCTTCATCTGATTTCAGTTCAATTCAACACAATATAATTATGCTGGATTAGGAACTTAATTTGTGTAATTTGGACATACTTTCCTCACATATGCCTATTAAAAAATAATCTTTAATTCATTGCTGTGTTAGTCATTTATTATATTTGAAAGCAAAAGATAACTCATTTGAAGATTTCAAACATTTGACAAATATGGCAACGTACTATACGCGAGCAGTGCAAAGGCTTTTTCCGTCTGTTGTCACATCGAAATCGTTGTTTATTTCAATGTATCGCACCATCGCTATGTCACAGCGCTCATTTTCTGGTATGTTATGAATTAGTTTTTGTATTAACTGTTTAAAACTCATTAACAGTAATAAAATTAGCTAGTTGTAACTTTTGTAGGAATATAGTTTAATCTATTCAGTATGTCTATTAGTTTGTTAATAGACAAGTTCATTCAAACGTCCACTTTATTTATCCTTACCATATTTTCATTTTAGCTAATTGTTCCTCTCTTATAAAGTGTTAGGTAAGATGGATTGTGAATTGTATATATTTTAGAAATATAAGTAGTTTTAAATCATTTAAAGAAAAGTATATCATCTTCAAAAGAATATTTATAGATCGGTATTACACAAAGAAGCACGAATGGGTTATCATCGAAGGTAATACAGCAATTGTTGGAATCAGTGATTTTGCGCAGGTTTAGTACTTCTGACGGCTGGATTTGACAAGTTGTTAAAGGACTGATATTACATAGCATCTTGCTTTATAAGAATTCTTGCAGGGTATTATTTTTGGGCAGTTAGGATTTCGGGATATTTTAGGATATCCAAGCATTACCTGTTGATCATGCATTCATCCCTATGCTGAACCAACAATCACTCTATCACATTTAAATTTAAGTCATCCTTAAAAAGTACATTTTTATTAATTACAAAATGGTTTCAGGCAGCACTTGGTGATATTGTTTATGCGGAACTGCCTGAAGTTGGAAAAGAATTGCATGCAGGTGATTCAGTTGGAGCAGTGGAAAGTGTAAAAGCAGCATCTGACATCTATTCACCTATTTCTGGAATAGTTACGGAAAAGAACATCGAAGTTGAAAGCAATCCATCATTGATCAATAAATCTGCTATTGATAAAGGTACGAATGTTTTTAATCCACTATTTACAATAAGCGAAAGAACATTTTCGATCATTCATTAGTTAAGAATTAATAATTTAACCACATAAATAGGGAAAATAACTGTTTCTGCTTTTAACTTAACCGAAAAATGAAATATTAGGACGAGTTTTAAGAAAGGTTTATTTTTGAAGGAACCATACAGTTGCATGAACTTAGCTTAAAGTTTATTGGATGTGATTTGTTTTTTACCCTGGATTCTGACTTTAATTCCTATTTCAAATTATCTTTGCTTGACACATTTTGATCATTGTATCAGTGTGATGGAGTTTTGATAAACTATGATATATTTGTAGGTTGGTTGTACAAATTGAAAGTAAAAGATGTAAATGAACTGAAAGAACTGATGAATGAGACAGCTTATGAAGCATATAAGAAAATGGAAGAGCAAGAAGCTGCTCATTAGATATCTTAGTGTCACTCAACCTAGCCGCTACTGTTTAACTTTTTGTCTCACTTTTTTAATGTATCTTTAGGGTTTTGTGAAATGTTAGAATAATTTAGCTGAAATGAGAGAGTTCGTTTGGAATATCTTTTACAAATTCCATAACTGATCATAATTAGGAAATAATTATATAGCTGAAGATAAAAAGATTACTTGTGCAGATAATTTAATTAATCAAGTATTCTCAGACTTGTATTGTGCTGTTGAAATTGTTGAATAGATAAATCTTCACTGTTGAGTTTTCAGTGATGAAATGATGCTGCTTAATACATATTATTTTATATTGTTTTTCTCTTATGTTTTAGAAATATAATCTTAGGATTAAAATGACTTGTTTATATTTTACCTCCATTTGTTAACCTCATATTTCGCATTTCTTTTAATTTCTTTATTTTTGTAAGCAATAAATCATTTTTTTTTTTGTCCTTTTAGTTTTGTCAATACCACCTATATATCATACACAACAATGAATCGATTGTGGGTTTGATGAGCGATTTTCGCAAATAATTTATTTTCCTTCTGGTAATATTAACAAATTTGTTTTCTTATTAAGTCATTGTTTTAACTCACCTAGAAAAAATGATGGATTTAATAATTTGGAAAGCTCTGATTGTTTAAAGTATTATGCATACTTTTTAATGTTTAATTATTCTTATAAACAAACACTCAATCAATAAGAGTATATTACTCAGATAATTCTCCTAATTATTGCATATCCTTTGGAAACAGTTCCAAATTACTGTTCTGATATTTTTATTTATCAAGTTTTTTTTCAAATTTAAAATTTTTTTTAAAACTTTTTTTAAATTTAACATTTCACTACACAATTATCGAACTTTATTTTATCACTGGAAATACAGGTAATTCACCCTTTAAAATTTGCCGAGCTACGGAAGTAATGCGCCTAATTAAATTTCCTGATTCTGAATATATTGTCGGTTAAATCCTGTAATTTACTAGTGACCTAAAAGGTATGATTTCGAAGTTTCTTAAAATTTGTTTGCAACACACTGAAATTATTTGAGCAGTATTCCGGATTTGTAACTATCGATGTTGTAAAGTTGTCCTGCTTTTTCATCTCAGTGATTTTTAAAATTATTGCTTTCATAAAATTTAAGTTATTATTCGACACATCATGAAACGCTTCGACGAATAACGATATAATAGAACAAAATGACATATTTTGTTTGAGTAATGTTTCACTAACGTTAGACTTTATTAAAACATTTCCGATAATCGTTGATCATATTGTTACGTCTGTTCATGGAATATTGGAAAATTAGAAAATTTGTGAAATATTTTTATCATAAAATCATAAAATTTAGCACCAGTTATTGCAACATATTCTAAATAATAAATTATATATAGTAGAATAGAATGAATAAAATTTCCATCTATCATATAGATGAAGTAATAAAATTTGTTTAGGATACAGATGGAATAGGAAAGGTATAAACAGTTGACAAATGCATTTACCTTTACGTCAGGTGTATGAAATTGATATAGTTGCGGTATTTTTGATGTTTTTGATAAGATAACTGATATTGCTGGCTCTTTTTACCCTTTCACTATCATCTTGTATATATTTTATTTCAAATATTGCTAAAAATTCAAATTTTCCATAAATTTGCAATGTTCTAGTTCTAGTCTAAATTTGTTGAAAATTTAAACAATAGCAAAATCTCAATATCACTCAAATATTACCGCTTCAAATTTAAAATAACCTACCGGATGAATTTCTTAATTACTAATAAGATTGGTGATCAGAGTAGTTCAAATAATAAATTTAACTTGCATATATTGTGCAAGAGAAAATCAATTTTGCTACACTCTAAATTTTATTTTTGATAATAAATGAAAATAAAGTAATAGAATGAAATAGTAAATAAAAAAATAGTAAATATAAAAAATAGTAAACAGAAATAGTAAATAAAAATGTGACATTTTAATATGAAATTTATGAAATACTATTACATTCTACATAATAAGTAAATATTACATAAACAAACTTTAAAATTTTCTATATCTAAACATTGGTGCATTTAATTGATTTCTTATCTTGATTATCACTCAAATGATAATGTGCATCATTGATTGATAACTTTATAATTTCACAAAGTTCATATTGTAGATCATTCCATATTTTCATTAATTTGTTAAGTAAGTAACAGTAATGCTATTTTCTCGCTTTCCTATAATTAATTAGTTTTTTGTGTATTGGTTTTCAAATAACAAATTTTTTTTTTTTTGTTTTCCTCAGTGCTTTCCTTCTTGTGAATGCCATTTGTGCTTAAAAAAAAAAAAAATTGATAAAATTTGTTTAATACCTCTTTTTGGAAAAAAAATCCGAAAATTTAATATTTATCTTAAGAATGAACTGTTTGTCTCAGAGATACTTTCTAACAGTTCGGAAAACAAATAATTTTTTTTCTTTTTCGTCAAAAAAATCAACCATTTATATGAAGTTAATAAAAAATTATTACTCTTTGATATTTAAATTTCCTGGTATGTTGCAGAAAATAAAGTAAAAAATTACTTTAATCATTTCCATTTATTTAATTTGAACAATTAATTAATGATCAAGTTGCTACACAGTAATCATCAATTCAAATAATTTGAAATGAAATTATTTAATGAGTAAGTGATTTTGTTATAATTAATAAGCGACCAAATTAATTATGTGAAAAGAGAATACCTAGATTTGTCTTGAGTATGATATGATGTACTGATAAGAATTTGTTGGAAGATAACAAATCCAAATGCAATATTTATCCTTTTACTTGTAAACATATCTTACTTCTCTTCCTAAAGTAAACTTCCAAATTTATTAATTATGTTTTTTAGATTCCTAAGTTTATTAGGAAAATGTATTCCATCTAACAAAATGCATATTCTTATCATATCTATCAGTAAAATAAATTTTTTAATTTTTATTTTACATATCATTTTAATATGATTGAATAAAGATTATATTAAAGTATTTTAAATGTATGAAAAAAAAAAGTAAATATTTGGGTTATAAGAAATAAAAAAAAAAAAAAAAAAGCGAAAAACGAAAAACGGAAAAGTAAATGAAATTTACCAATATGAGTGGGTGTTAACTGGAAAGCTCTCGGCTGATTATTCGTCCGAAAGTAATTGCTAAAGTTAATAGAAAATATGGCAGTGATAAATAAGTGATAAATAAATGATAAAATTGCTGCATTCAGTTATATTTAAAAGTCAGCTAATGCTTCAATGACATTATTAATTTAAACAGTTAAAAAAATTTTCATTCATAATAAACTAAAAAATGAAATAACTATCAGTTAATTCAAATATCTTTTTTTTTGCAAGTTTTTATTACTACAAAAAAACAAAAATTAAAAGTTTGTAGCATATTTAAAAAAAAAAAAAAACAAATGATCCCGCACCTGTTTGCTAATTTAATTTGACTATTTTGATTGATAATAATTAATTAACAAAATGCGAATTGAATAGTGCAAAATACTCGAAATAACAATCCAGATTAATTGGAATATAGAATTTTAGTAGGTTTCGCGGGGAAAGAAAAACATCATAATATTGCCCATACGGGTAGAATGACAAAAAAATTGGGAAAGAATAAACATATTAGTTCACAGTTATTTATGATTTTTAAATTTATTAAATTTGTTGCTAAAAATATTTGAAGTAATATTAGTTACAAAAAAAACCATTTAATGGTTTTGACAAAAATATGATAGTTGGAAAAATTAAAATAATTTTATAATTAAAAATTTATTTAAAATAATTTTATAAAAAAAAATTAAATTAATTTTATAATATAAGTATTCTGTTATAATTAAAATATTTAAAAATTGGTAAAGCAAAATATGTAAATATTCCGATGAAAATTAATAAATAATAAATTAAGCTTTGTAAGTTATAAATAAGATTATTTTTTCTAATTTCTACAATCTATTAATAAAATTTATTTACAATTGAAAATTATTGTTGACAATTGTTTTGTATAAGAAAATAATTCGCAAATTATTCCTACCAACAACATAAATTTCTCTTCCCTCTCTCTCTTTCTTTCTCCCTCCTGACCTACAGATTTAATTGAACTTTGACCCTAACCTAACAACAATTTCATTTGATTCCCATTCAAAAGATCAACATGGATAGTTAATGTTAATCTTAATAATCTCTAATCATTGTTCTTCAACTTTTACAACATTTTAATTATTAATCTTGATCTCGAGACAAATAATGTTTCAACTATTCGGCACCTTTTATATCACACAAAAAATTAATTTCACTAAATTATTTAAAACAAAAAACTTTAATGATAACAAATAAAAAACTTTAATGATAAACTTTCGCATTTATTTTTATACTATTATTTTTCTCAAATACTTCCAATTTTTCATTCAATTTCTCATAATTACAATATTATTTTGCACTGTTACCGTAGCTTTTTTCTTCATTCCGTTTTTTTCCGCTTTTTTCTTTCCGATTTTTGATTTTTTAATTTTTAGCTATAAATAATTTTTAATCATAAATAAATGGAAAATATGAGTTCAAGTAAATGATAGTGTAAAAGTAAAATTAGTAAATGAAAAAAAGTCAACTAATCGTTTTGTTTTAAAATAGTTCATTAATTAATTAATTTGTTAATTTAATATACATCACAACTTTGATATAAAATCAATAAACAAGCTTAGATGAAGTGATAAAATTATAAAATTATTACATTTAATTAATAATTAATGCATTCAATTTTTTTTTCACTTTTTTATATTCAAATGCAAAAGCAAAAAAAAAAGAAAACAAAAAACAAATATTTCATAAACTTTTTTATTTATAAAAGCATCACATGAAAAAAATTTTCACATAAATTTTCTTTTAAATTACTTGCAGCAAAAAAAAAAAAAAAAGGAAGCGAAAATGACAGAGAAAAAAAAGAAGAAACATTAAATTAAATTTTTATTAAATTCTAATGAAGACGAAAAATTTCTAAAAATTATGGCAAAAATTTAACAGAACAGTAGTTTTGATAGATTTTGACAGGAATTGAAGAAAATTTAAAATGATATATTGCTGGAGGTATAATATAAATGATTGATCCAAAAAAAAAAAATAAGAAAAAGAAAGAAAAATTGTGAATTAGTTGATGATTCTTCATCCTGAATAATATCAAAGATAAATAATAATGGAAGATAGATTCGAATAAACCTGTTATCAGCATCATTATAAAAGTTATCATTCATGATTAATGATAATAAGATTGAAGAAATCATTTTATTACATACAATTTGCTAGTGAATAGTGAAATTGTCATTAGATGTCAACTTTATTTTTTTTTTTATTTGTATTTATTCCTTTTTTTTTTCTTTCACATTTTACTATTTTATTTATTTTGGAAAAATAAAATTTAAAAACAAGACTGAAATAAAAGATGAAATTGAGGCAAACTTTAGAATTATCATTAACTGTCATAATTAATATTTATCTTTTTCAAAATAATTTAAAGTTGAAAGAAAGATCATAGGTAAATTTTGATTATTTAAATGATTGAAATTAACTAATAACAAACATTTTCTTTTATTTCTGATAACAAAAAGTTCGAATTGATAATAAATATTGTTGTGTTTAGTAAATCTAATTAATGACAAAATTATTTATAATTATTTAATATTATTTGATATTCAACAGTTAGCAACTAATAAATGAGTAAATTAATTTAATTTCACATATTTCAGTGCCTTTTTTTTCTTTCTAACAATGCAAGCATATTGGAAATATTTTTATTAATAATAAATAAGAAATTAGGCTTACAAAATTTACGTTACGTTTAATTTGTATTATTTTCATAATTTTTTAATCATTTTTTTTAAAAATAAAATAAACGTTAATACATAAATAATCTGTTAATATTATCACAATTCATTAATTTTTAATTTTTACAAAATTAACCAAAAAATATATTTGAAAAAGACTTAATTACTATTTCATTTCAAATTTGAAATTTCACTTTTCATAATAAACTATTCATTAATTTATACATTTATATTAGGTATATTATTAGCATAAATGTTTTTCTGTTCACTATGAACTCCTCCTCCTTGTAGTTCATTATCAGGAAATGACTGTGTACCACTAATTCCTGAACCGGTAACACTTGCATACGTATTTGCCGTAGGCGTTGCCGTTGGCAAATATCCGAAACAGAAAGATGAAGGTGTTTTCATAACCTAGAAAAATGATTGGATTATTTATTTATCAAATGAAGCAGTGATTATAGCACTAATTTTTCTTTTTTTAAAGTATAAATTATGTCGAGTAAATAAGTCTATAAAATTAACTTAAAATTTCAAAAGTTAAGTTAGGAAACGATTAAACATCAAATTCTCAATTCGAGAAAAATATTTAATACGTTAGCGTGAGTTAGTCAGTATGTTAGAAAATTTCAGTCTAAAATTGAAATAAGATTAAAAGTTGAGAAAGAGTAGATTTGAAATATAAAAATTATATATGTATGAATGAGACTGAAATCAAAAGATTAAACTTTTAACTAGTAAGTAATCAATTAGTTTACTGAATGCAACACACACACGTACATGTACACGTATACACATACACGCACACACGTCATATATACACGGATGTAAGCGTAATAAAATGGTTAGACATTTGGAATAAGACAAATAATAAGCAGAATAATGTAAACAAAGACAGAATATAAAGAGAAATAGATAACAAACCATATCTGGACCCGGTAAACCATTTGGTTGCGGAACAAATGGATGCATTAGACCAGAAAAATCATCCGGATGAGTCATCCATGCCCATGACGGTATTCCTGGCGTACTGTGCCGCACAGGTGGTAAATCAGCAATTGCGCTACTTTCTGCCTTATCTTGACGACGCCATTTAGCACGTCGATTTTGAAACCATACCTAGAAAAATAAATTTGATAAATTGAAGACAAATTAAATTAATTCGAAGAATTCACGTTAATTTATTAATTTTTAATTTGATTCTCTAATGCTTTCATTTTTTTAATTTTCATAATGCTTATTGATTTATTAATGCTTAATTCAATGAGATGCTTAAATGAAAATTAACATTTGAATAGATTTGCAGTTTTTTAGTAAATTTAGTTTTAGTTAATTACTATTAATTATTGGCATATCATTCAATACTTCTTTACAGCATAGCTTTCAAAGAAAAAAAAAACAAAGAAAGAAAGAAGTAAAAACCATCCATTATATTACTATAACCCAAATAGTTTGTCAATTCAATAGAAATTTTTTTTCTTTTCTTTTTTTGCCCATTTTGTAGATATAAATTTTTGGGAATTTATGGCTAATTCGGATTAACCAACCAATCTTAATGGGAACTAATCGGAAAGAAGTCGGAAAAGTCTGAAAAGATTTGTCATTATGTCATTGTTTTGGTGTATGGAAGAAATGGGCTAAAGAAGGAAATAACAATTAGATGTGACAGTTTGAAGGGATGAAATTTGAGATTATTTGGTACTCTCTCACAATCACTACTTGGTAGATTAATTAATGAGTAGAAATAAGACAAGCAGATTACCCCTTTTCTGGAAGGTCATACATGTCATCAGCTGATGATGATGATGATGACCATAAATGTCATGTTTTCATTAAAAAATAAATTCATTCCAGTTCGTTTATTCCTATATTTAATCATTCCATTTAAACTTTAAGATTGTCATAAAGATTTCTACAGATGATAAAATTAAAAAGTTTCAGAATTCCAAAAGTATCACAATATAACGTTTAGTTGATTTAAATGTAATGTTTTGGAACTCAAAAGTATTTGTTCTATTTTTATATAAAACTATTAAATAGTGATAAACTTACAAATGCTTAGCTTTTTAAAAGATTAAAAAAAAAATAATAAAATTAAAGATAACATCAAATATATGTAATAAATTGCTAGAGGAAGAAGAAAATATAAAAATAAGAAATGAAATGAATAATTAACCTGGACACGAACTTCAGGAAGTTTCACTTTTTGAGCCAATAACTAAAAATATAATAAAATAAAAAAATATCGTTTTTACTATAAAATTTAAAGTGATAAAGTGTTATTTTAAAAAATTTGAAGGATTGCTTGCTAATAGTTTTGCCTTAAATTGAAATATTTTCATTTCAAAAAGTAATAGAATAGGGACAAATATAAATTTCTAATTTTTGTTTGAAATAGTTTAAGAGAAAAATCATTTATCATTGTTGCAACAATATCATTCATTGAAAAACTGTAATTGAACTACAACTTATCTACAACTATAGCAATTCAAGTATGAATTCAAGTACAGTAATTCAAACTTTAAGAGAAGAGAGAGTAAAATTTAGGAATTTCATTGAATAACATACCTCCCTGGCATAAACATCAGGATAATGGCATCTTTCAAAAGCTTGCTCTAATTCATGAAGCTGAAATGTTGTAAATGTGGTCCTATTGCGCCTTTGTTTCTTTGATTCTCTGAAATAGAAATCACCGAGCTTTCTCAATAAAATATTTTCCCGGAAAACCTTCTAATAGAAATCATAAATATTATAAATATTGCTATTAAAGAAAAAAAAAAAAAAAAACTAAACTATTTCATTTTTTTTCTGAAATGAACAAAATTTGAATAAAAATCAAAGTACAAAAAATTTTTATTTAAACTTTTAGTTTAATTTCTTTTAATTTAAATTTTTGATTGAATATTGAAACTTAAAAAACTAACAAATTATGAAGATGAACAAATTCTCTAGATCTCTAAGTTTAAATTTTAATTAAAAATTTAAATATATTTTACCAAATTAAGCGCAAGCTCTGCATATCATTGAATTGATAAATGTTTTTTAAGAGCTGATTTTCGGATTTAGTGATTTTTAATATGCTGTTATGATCGTAACTAACTTATACTTATTCTTATTCTTATAATATACTTAGAATTTACACTATGCTTATTAAAAGTTGTAACTAAACCTAAATGAAGAGAGCACTGCTAATAAGGGAATTTGGTGATATTAATGCTTACAATGTAAAATATTTAGAAAATTGTGAATGTTTGGATGCAGAAAAGTAGATGTTAATAAAAGTATGTCAAGAAGGTAAAGAAGTACTGACAAAGTTATTTTAAGAATAATTTATCTAGTAAGACATTAAAATCTAAACAAGTGAGCTAATTAATTAATTGATCAAATAATTAATTAATTAAACAATAAAGATAAATAAATCCTTTAAAGTCTGAAGTTTAAATTTTAGTTAAAAATTTAAATTCAAATCCAAATTTAATTCATTTTATGATCAATGGAGATGCTTAGAATTTTTAAACACATAAAATTTCTGACAATGATTGTAATATAATTTTTTTTTCGTTATACTGGAAAAAGAAAATTACTAACTAACCTATCCCTACGTTTGTTAGCATCACTATGCTGTTGTTGATGTATTCCTGATGTTACTGAAGTAGTAATCAAATCCGGAATTTTTACATGTCCATGTTGTATTTCTGAAAATTTTCCTTCTTCCAAATATTTCATTTTCTTGATAATCATCACGACATTTATTTTATGATAAAAATGTCCATGTTTTATTTGAAAACGATTAAATTTACAATCAACATATGAACCATTCATACTTTTAAAATAAATTGATACAAGCTTATCTGTTATGATATTTAGATTGTTATCACATTAATCATACTAATTAGAATTAATTGAAAATTGTATGAAATTTTTGCGTAAAAGATAACCGACCATTTCGTTGTATCAATGAGCTAATAGAATGATGATGATGATGACTTGTACTAGTTAATAGAGCACTACTACCGCACAACTCATCCATCATTTAGCAACCATAATCATCTTGATTGCCATCCATCTATCCATTCATCCAGACAACCACAATTTGTCACATCATTTCATGGATACGGTAGCAGAGGTTGAGGAGGAGGCGGAGATAGGTAATCTTATTGGTTGGATGAAAAAGGAGAACGATGTGTCATAGAATGGAACTATTTTAGGAAAATGCTAATCCAATTATCACTTTTGACGATATGCTTTAAAGAGAAGAGAAGAGCATTTCGTCAAATTATTCACCTCAGTTTAAGTCATATTGCTATGCATTATCAATTAGTACAATTACATTTGAAATAGCATAAAAATGAGAGAGATTGAAAGAGAAAAATACGATCAACATCATACCTGTTAAAATGGATTGTTGCTGGTTCTTAATGGATTCCATAGATGGAAGGAGGAAAGTCAAAGGGAGAACGACAGGTATATGAAATGTAGGACATTTGATGACAATAAGGTCTTCTAACTCTTTTATGAACTATTACTGTATCATTCATTCATTATCATTGCTTCTTTGTATTTAAAAGTTTTTTTTTTCTCTCTCTCTCTCTTCCTCTTCCACTTTGTCTTCCTTTAGTGTAACGAAACTAAAATTAATTTCACTTTTTTTTTAATATGGAATTATAAGATAAATGGAAGGAAAATGATTGACTAATAATTTAATGGGTAAATAAGTAAAAAAAGTGTAAACTTATTATTTTATTGAATAAATGCAATTGTTGTAAATAAATTAGTAATTATTTGATTAGTAATGATTTGACATTATTACTGTTTTAAAGTAGAATGAATTGGAGGAAACATTTTTCAAATGGTAATGACAATCTTTAATCCTTAAAAAATTAATAAATTCTTTCTTGAAATATGTTTGATTAATAAGATGAACAAATAACTTAAGCTATGGTAAACTTGTAATTATAAAAGTTAATGGGGTTGAGGAAAAATTTACCATTATTAACTTAGTCTAGGCTTGTTTGACGGTTCTAAAATCTAATTAGACTATTAAAAGTTTAATTTATTATTGGTAAGCATAGCAAAGTCCAATCTACGAAATTGTTGTTACAATCAATTAAGGTAAAATTTCGAAGAGGAAAGAAACTCAATTTAGTTTCTCGAATTGACTCCTTTTATTTTTCGCTACCACTTAACAGCCATTTGACTAGTCTTTTTGCATTTTTTTTCTTGCAATTATTTTTAAAAGAAGTAAATATCAGTAATAATAACAAGAAATAAAAACCTAAGTTGTACTAAATAATAATTTCAAAATTATGCTTTCTCATGCATTATTTTTTTTTATTTAAACATAAATTGTTGAAATTCACATGAAAGGTTGAAGCCGAAATCAAAATAGGCAATTTATTGATGGAGTACGCTACCTGTGAATAGTAATCAAGGTTACCGTAAATATGCCATATGTCGACTTATAATCCATTTTAGAACCCTTTTTTTTTTTCCTCGAATTGTTAGCACAAAAAAAAAGCAAAAAATAAATAAATAAATAAGCTAAAGATTAGAATCTCTTCAATTCCTGTAAAAAATAAATAAACCCTATGTACAACCATTATCTCTTCATATTACTAGTTTTTGTTTTTTCATATAACTCTCACCAAAATGCAAAACATTTTTCTAAAATTCAAAAAATTTTGACTAAAATATGTCATCATCATCATCATCATCACCTACTTTTCATTTCAACTTCCTCTTTAACCATAAGCTAACAATCATTTTAACAGCATTACAATACAGTATAAAATCTTAAATTAAAATACTTCAGTAATGACTAAGGTCAAATTAGTCCCATACATGAGACAACAATTACGAAAAGATTTCCGAGATCAAAACATAAAAATGAAACTTATTATAAGAGAGATTCGATCACCCACAATACAATAAAAGATATATATACATTTATTGAGACTAGTATACAAATTAAAAATCACGATTGAACAAATGAACAACTATCACACATACGTACACATAAATCACGTAAACATACACGTAAATACACGCATACACATATACAAACAAACAAATAAATAAACATCACTTGAAACATAGTTATATTTAAATAAATTCGAAGTGCGTTGGGACATAACTATCTGCCATACCATACCTAAAGAAATTAAAATGCAATGGATACATTAACTGTATGAAAGAACAATTTTCCAAAAAAAAAACTTTCACTGACTGACTTATTAATTAAAAAAATTCTGATTTATAGCAAAGTTAATATTTGTTTCATAACACCACCAATAGGAAATTTATGTGGAAATTCAATCACAGCACAAAAAATTCAATTTAAAAATGAGAATCATTGAAGAAGAAAGATGGACAAATGAACGAAAATAAATGTGATTAAAAATATTTTGACATTTAAACACACGAAATAATAATAATAAATTCGTAAGGAAAACAACGATGAGCCTAATTTCTTAAACTTCAGATTGGGTAAGTTTGATTTAAGAAAGTCATATATTCAGTTAAGCTGAATTAATGTTTGAAAGTTAAACACACAAGAAAGGGATTTATGAATGTAAAACTATGGACTAAGACATATGAAAGTATAAAGATTTAGGTTTTTCAGATTTATTTAGTCATATCGCAGTTACCGATATTTCAAATTTATGAAATGTCAAGTGTCACAGTTATTCACACTATGTTCCATATTCAGAAGCAATTGATAATAAAATCCACAGAAAGGCGATTTACATATTTTCGTTTTTGATCAAATTACTCCGAATCGTCATCATCTGTCTTCTGATTCGAAGGGTTATCGTTCTTCAAATAGCTAAATGTCTTGCACAGCTGTCTACCCATATCCATTAGATGTTCAATATTTACCTGAAAACATAAAATAATGTTTTTTTTTTTTTTTTAAAAAAAAGAACAAAGATACAAAGATTCAAACTCAATTTAACATGCTAGACGAATATGTCTTCTCTTCCCTTCTTTCCGATAATAACCAAATCGTTGGACAACTCAAATTTCGCCATATGGCATTAAATAATTTGTGTCTAACAATAAATTACAACCTGCTTTATCAAAAAATGGTTTTTTACATGCTAAACGATCATATCCTTAAATTATAAAAAACAATAAAATTTCCATATGAAAAAGAAGAAATGATTAACTTTATCAGTTGAAATGACCTGCTATAGAAACTAAATTTCAGCTAGCCATAACACTGAAATACCAACCTGATAACCTTTCAAAGAACCACAATTAAAACCACAATAAGTAGATTCTAGAGTATAAGATCGAGTGATTCCAAACTGCTTCCATAGTGTTACACGAGCCGAAGATTCTTTAGTTTTAGTTATATTGAATCGACAATTTGATAGTGAAAAGTAATTACACATCTGAGGAAAAATTTCCCGTGACTTAACAGAATAAACTGTCTAATTATGAAAAGAAAATGAAAGGAATTTAGTAAAATTTTACATATGACAAAGTTTTTGGTAATAAAAAATATATTCGTATTTAATCCATTAAAATCGAATATATCATATTTCTATTTAAATTAAATCATCTGTAAATTATACCTGCTGCAGAAGCAATGGAAGCGACATAAAATCATTTCTTCCTGGAAGCGAATGATCTAGAATACGCCATGAGTTATCAGGATTGTTTCCATAAAGAAACAAATTGAAATTGTTGGAATGACCATGTAAATCAATGAATAAAAATGGCTTCTTTCCAAGTACATCGACCTGAAATTTGTATTTCTTCATCTCTTATTAGAAATAAAGTGAAAATCATATAATAAATACTAGAAATCAAACATTATTAATTCACTAAATACAAGTATTATTAATAAACGAAACTCAGAGTGCAAAGAAAGTCAAAATTCCTTTGATTCAAAAAGGAAAGATTAAGTTTATGAATTATACACAAATCTAAAATTAATATGGCACATGAATTTAGACCGTAAGTTAAGAATGTGATTAAGAATAAATAGACAAGAAAAAAAAAAAAAAAAGAAGAAAACCTACTATATACTGTACAATAGCTTTACTATGAAAAATAACAGGATGCAATACTGATGAAGGTTGATCCCAGGTTCGATTTAAATCTACACCAGCTAAGCTACAACGATGTGAACCGTTCACTACACCATCAACATTTAACATTGGAATTAATTTAAATACGAACTGATCACGAAGCTCCATAGCTTCTTCCTTATCGCTCATCAAGAACTCCATAATGCCTTAAAATTTTGATCAATCACAACAATTTAACTTAATTAGAAGCTATATACAGATGATGATAACATCAAATATTCGTAAATAGATTTTTAAATTTAAATTAAACCTATGTAATCTACGTTTTCCTAGTAAAACACAGTAACCATTCGGTTATAAATTCAAAATCATTTTCCACCAATTACATTACAAATTCAGATTTAAACCAAATTTTTCATTACTGATAACTCTTTCCTTGAGAGTAAGTTTACCTATTATTATAGACCAAAAAAAAAAAAAAAAATCAGAGATTAAAGAAAAAAAAAAAATAAAAATTACTTCCAGTAAGCGTATATGTTATATAATATTAAAGATATATAGTTTAGCTACTAGTTTAAGAGAGAGAAAAATATTTTTAGAGAGAGAAAATACTTTTAAGAGAGAGAGAGAAAAAAAGTTTAAGAGAGAAAAGAGAAAAATACTCAATTCAAAACACTTCCTATACAATTTAATTTATTTTGCTTTCATTTAAGTACGTTATCTTACTTTTGGGTTTATTCATAGACATACAAAAAGTGTACCATGCATAATCCAACTTGTATTATTTTCTCCAGGATGTACTCTAGCAAAGATCAATATGATCTGGCGATCATCTAATTGTTTTTTAGTACCATTAGCGGTCACTGTAAGGAGTGACACACTATTACCAGCTAATGATGTACAGAGTTTATCATTACGAACATAGCGCTGTCCTCTCGTGTCATTTTTCGACAAATATCTTTCTAAGGTAGCCTGAAATTATTCATAAAAA